TCTAGGAGGGAACAGCTTGCTCTCATTAGCATATATGCCTGTTGTTGCAACTCAACTTTCTGTTGGGGTGTGTGTTTGCTTAAACACAACTGAAGTGTAGGTACAAACAACATGAAAAATCAATTATCTTTACTCCCCAGATGACTCTGAAAGTTAGTTTTACCCAAAAAATTGTATTATGATATCTGTCTTTTTCTAGAGAAGAATTTGATCTAGATACAACAACAGAATTTTGAAACGTCTTGGAATATTTTTACTGGAGACAGCTTTTAGGATATCTAGCAGATGAGGTATTTGAACTTGTAGTCTGCTTTAGCTAATTCACTGCGATTCATATCGACATAGTAGGGTGAGTGGAAGTGAAATTTGCATGGGTTTTGGAGTATCAGATACATGGGTTTGTTTAGGGTCTTAATAGCATCACAGATAGGCACTTGAGAGGAGAAATTTTTTATTTGTTCTTACATTAAGAGAGATGAATGTACACATCTGTATTTTGGAAAAGTAGTGTGACTTCTACCCATCACCCTCCTCTTCTGTCTCTTTTAGGTGGGTGGCTTATGAAAATCCTGAGTTTACAGGGGAGCAGTATATACTGGCTAAAGGGCTCTATCCCAGCATTGAGGCATGGGGGGGAAAGAATTGCAAAATATCTTCAGTTCAACCCATCATTATGGTAAGGAGTTCATTTTATACTTGTTTTACAAGTTTCTCTGAAGTATTTGGAGCTATACTTTTTCTATCAAATTCAGTTTATTTACATTCTTTAAACAATAATTAATAGTAAACTTTTGTATGTTTGTTATTTTATCACTGTTTAAAATATTTTTTTCCTTTTTTTTCCTCTCCAAACTTTTGCAGGATATTGCTGGAAGCAAAAGGGGTAAAGTCAAGGTAAGATACTTCTCTAAGTACATGAAGCACACTGTGTAGTGTCTGTAACATGTATAAATAAAGAAATGGCTTTTTGTCTAGTATTTGCATAGACGGTTGACCAGTCAGACAAAGAGTGAGAACTGCAGGTGAAGGAAGGCTGCTTTCCAAACCTCTTAAGTAAGGCACATTAAGGCCGAAGGAAGATGCGATTTAATACACAGCTGCCATCAGAACTTTCTCAGGGCACAGATAATGTTTTGGTTCAGCAAGGGAGCTGTTTTGGTGTATCGGTGATTGTTCTGAGGAGCTGGAGCCCACAGCCCTCTATGCAGAGGTGCAGGTACCTGGATTCTGTTGCTGAGGCGAGGGCTCTACAAGTTAGATGATGTTGTACATGGTACAGTTGTGACTTAATTCCTTTTGAACCTAGTTCTTTGGCTAACAGTTCTGCTAATGGTGGTTGCACTTTAAGGGAATCTCGTTCACTTACTGCTGAGTTGTGCTTTAAAGTTAATGTCATCTTTGTCAATAACGAAGAGAAGGAAATGGCAGGGAGAACTTGTCTGTTCAGTGAGTTAACATATTTTTATGTTGGACTGTCTCCTATGTGCAAGTACTAATACGTAGTTTTGACATGAGGCTAATGGGTGGATTTTTTTCATCCTTTCATAATTCTGAACGTTTTCATGTTTGTCCCTGTTCAAAGTTAGTTTTATTTTCATTTCAGTCAAAATGGTGAGTACATCATGGAACTAAAAACTAGGGAGAAAAGTCTTTGCTGTCTTGTTTTGCCTTGTTGATTAGTAACATGCCTCACTGGAATCTCCTGCATAGGGATAATGTATAAACTATGGGGAATAAAAATCTCAAGGCTGCTTATTTTCAGCTATGTGCATGAAAAATTATTTGCATCTACATATTATGTGCCTATTAAGACCTTATCCTAAGGAAACAAAGAAGTAATGACTTGTAGTCAACAGACTGCATCCCTTGTCAGCATGTTCCTCTTCGGAGAACGCTGTACATGCCCACACTCGTATCTCTGTTAAGAGTGAATAAAGCTGGTAGGCATGTGATAATGTGAATGACTTCTGTGTGATCAGGGTTAATTATCCTCTAACCAAATTAGCAGGTTTGCTGCTTAGAAGTTTTTTTCTTTTTAACAAGGACAAAAGACTCTGGGTGACGTATTCTCTCTTATCCTCCGAGCAGAGAAAGAACTGACATGACTGTAACTATAGCTGTAACAGGCACATAAAGCCCACCTACCCTGGGAATATATACCATGCCTGTTGGCATGCTGTCTGAGTACTTTGCCAAGATTATGCACCATTTATGTTCTGAGAGACAGATAGTTTTCATTTAGTGGGAAGAGTATGTATTTTGGAGATTAAATGGATTAATAATCTAAACCAAAACCGTTTATGACCCTTTAGTAAAGATGTGCCTATTCTGGCCATTCTGTGGGAATTTAAAAATCTTGTCAAGCAGGTAGTCCAAGGAGCTATCTTTGTTAGTGTTGGTTTAATTATTTTGTATGTTACTGAGTGATTTACAGCCAGAAGTAATTTTTGGTATTGTTACCTTGCTGTCTTGAACAAGGATTGCAACACTGAAGAGGTAACAAAATGTATGTAACTGAGGAAGTCTGGGTGTTTTAAGTATGTTTTAATCTAGTTATAGAAGTAATGGTAGAGACATGTTACTGAAGGTTGAAGAATGAATTGTTTTTAAATATGTTTATAAATTTTTAAAGGTCCAGTTATTTTCAGAGCCTGAATTCAAGGGTAACTGCCAAATAATTGAAAAAAACACAAGATGTATTGATTCATTTGCCCTGAAGTCTTCAAAAATTTTAGATGGCAGGTAAGCTATATTGAATGAATATTCAAAATCATTAAAATGGTAAAAGTTTTAAAAAAGCAACCAGCTTTCTAACACCTGAAGTGATTTCACATATGGGGACTTAGAGAACGACGCTTTGCAATTTACACATCAATCTTTAGCTTGTCAGGCCAAAACATTGTAAATAATGTTTCTGTCAGTAGCTCTTGCTAAAGACTGAGAAACACTAGCATCTTTTTACTTGCACAGAATTTTTAAGAGGCAATTTCTTCTCCTTCTTCCTGCAGCTGCATAATGTATGACCAGGAAGAATTCTCCGGTAACCAGTATGTGTTAGAAGAAGGAATCTATCCTGATCTGACAGCGATGGGTTGTTCGCCCCAAGCAGTTCTAAAATCTTTACGGATTATAAATATTGTAAGTAAAGCTATTAGAAATATTGTAAAGTAAAGATACGTACACTGATGACTCTGACCTCCCCATTTTTTTGCAACAGTAAAAATGCTAGGGATGCACAGACAACAGAGGAGTGGTTTTTGGGTTTGTGGTTTTTTTTTTTTTTTTTTCCCCTGTGCAGTAACATTTAAATGTCCTAGCTGCTGTCAGGTTTTTTTTACCTCTGTGCTGTTTTTGCAAAGGAGAGGACATCACAGAAGCGCCTGCCTGGGATCGCTGTTCTTAGTAACAGCTTATAAAAGGACTTCTGTAAAAAGAGTCAAGGATGTGTCAAATAGACTCTTTATTTCCCAGTAGGAGAGACCACTTAAGAGTGGATTAAGAAATGTCAGTAGGACAGTGTGAAGAAATATCTGTACTTGTTTTCTATGCATATTAAAAAAGCAGACTTAACTAAGCAGCTTTACATGAAATACATGTAATTATAAAACACTATTGCTATCATCAGGGAAATGCAATTTGAGTTAATCACGAAATAATGCACCCTTCTAGATAAAGTAAAGCAACACCCAATGCCATTTGGCAAAATCAGGCAGTGGTGGTGTTATGTGTGGTGGATACAAACTAAACAACATTTACATATTTTGTAACTCATCAGTGGTGAGGAACGAGTTTGCTCAAGCCTATAACCAATCCTTATGATGGATCACCTATGGAATCTGCAAGTATCTTTTAAGATCAAAGTAATTACTAGCAAAATGTGGTCGAGAATCCAGGAACTTACAGCAATATGAAGAGATGGTACTCATTTTAAAAAAGGAGGAGTACACTATTGACTCTCCTCTTTGAATTTGGTAACTTTATTGCACTCCACTGTAATTTTGGTAACCTGTCAGTGATGTAGCAGTTGACGAAGGAGAACTAAAATGTGTCATCCTCTTTCATGTCTCTGGAGCATTTTGATGTACAGTGTAAACAAACATCTGCAGCAAGTATGTCTGCCTTCTGAACTCTTTGGCTGTCCAGTAGACAGATCTTATTAAAAACAACAGAAGTGTTTCTAGCCAAGCTTGGTGGCTGATCACAGTGAATTAAAATAGGCTTTTTTGTACATGTCAGTGTCCACTTCTCGGGTTTAAAATGCGTGTTTCAAGCTGGAAGGATCAGCTTACTTTTGGAAGATTTATTATTTGTGACAGAGACTGTTGTGTTAAAACAGCCAAATGCCAGTTCTGTGCCTCTTAAAGCTCTTATAACTTCTGAAACTTGTTCTAGCCCTATAATTTATCATACTTCAGACAGTAGCATGGAGCTGCATCTGTGTGTAACTCACATGCTGCTGCCTCCTTCTTCAAAGGCTTCCTACCTGCAGAGAAGAGGAAAATGGGTTGCTTTGCTCAGCGGTTTATTAGCAAACCAGAAAAGAAGTTAGGTGGAAATGATCATATTATACTGTCCACTTTTCATAATTTTACAAAAGTTTGAACCTTATTTCAGATACAGGTTTCACCTGTCAGATTTATTTTGGGACTGTTTTTTTGGCAGTGGCAATCTTAATTCCTCCCCACCATCTGCCCTTCCCATAACTTTTCTCATGATTTTTCTGTGACATTTCTATATAAGAAGCACCTTTGCCATTTTAGTATGTTATGTTACTATACTCATCTAGTTTAACTCTCCTTTGTGGGGATCCATTTCTAAGGGACCATAAAAAAAGGAAATGAAAGGGATATTTGATAAACTTGGAAGTGAAAGTTAAAATGGCTTTTGTTCATAAGCTCAAGGTTTTTGTTTTTTTATACCGCTGTATCTTTCCCTGAACGTGCTTGCTTTGCCTGCTCCACATGGCTGTGCTGAAGATAGAAAATAGCATTTTTCCTTCTTGAATTTGCTATGTATTCTTTTTCCTGAACATACTTGTCGTGGTTTAACCCCAGCTGGCAACTAAGCACCACACAGCCACTCGCTCACTCCCCCCTGGTGGGATGGGGGAGAGAACCAAAAGAGTAAAAGTGAGAAAACTCGTGGGTTGAGGTAAAGACAGTTTAGTAGGTAAAGCAAAAGCCGTGCACACAAGCAAAGCAAAACAAGGAATTCATTCACTACTTCCCGTCGGCAGGGCAGGCAGGAGCCATCTCCAGGAAAGCAGGGCTTCATCACGCATAATGGTTACTTGGGAAGACAAACGCTATCCCTCCAAACGTCCCCCCCTTCCTCCTTCTTCCCCCAGCTTTATGTGCTGAGCATGACACCATATGGTATGGAATATCCCTTTGGTCAGTTGGGGTCAGCTGCCCCAGCTGTGTCCCATCCCAACCTCTTGTGCACCCCCAGCCCACTCGCTGGTGGGGTGGGGTGAGAAGCAGAAAAGGCCTTGACTCTGTGTAAGCACTGCTCAGCAGTAACAAAAGCATCCCTGTATTATCAACACTGTTTCCAGCGCAGATCCAAAACATAGCCCCGTACTGGCTTCTATGAAGAAAATTAACTCTATCCCAGCCAACACCAGCACAATACTATAAAAACTACTGCGAATGTGGTTTATGCTTGAACAGTCATGCTGAAAATACTTCTTTTTAATGAGCAACTCTGTGAAAAAACTAAATGTAGATACACAGGAGCACCAGCTTGGTACAGTGCAGTACATGGGAAGTGCTGAAAAAAACCTCTGAGCTGACCTTGCACTTCTCTCTGTGGGGAACGTTTTATATAACAATGTTGCTGCTGAATCTAAAAAATGCCTAGAGTAGAAGGTGTGGCAGAGAAGTGGAGGATTTCCTTTTCTGTCTGTGTGTTTTCTTTGTAAGTAGATTATTTCTGAAGCATTGCCTATGGCTCAAGGCCTGCTGCCTGACCAGTTGCGTATCTCAGAGTGCAGGTGCAGGTCTGTAAAAGGGCTGAGGGATCAGAGACACCAGGACATCATCATGGTGCGACTGTTCCTGTTGGGCTCTTTACCTGTGATGATGCATGGCAGTCTAACTGGTGTTAACCTTTCGTGGTGGGGATGAGCGTACTCTGATTTTGGAGTAGGCTGAAAGGCCTCTCCTGGCATTTTCCGCAGCCTAGCAGCGTGGGTGCGATCAGGAAGCATAGCTCAGCTGCTGTGCGGTAACCTGGACTGCTGCAGAGATAATGGTGACGCTCATGCAACATTGTCATCTAGGCCCTTCAACACCTAAAGGAAGATTAAAGAGGAATGTAAGCACTGTCTAGAAATTGGTAGACATGAGGTCTTGCCTAACAAAGTCACATGGAAGCATGAATATCGGCTGCCATGCATGTACAGAGCCTCCTCTGCCTTGGAGGGCCTGTTTCCATGCCTGAGGCCAGATGGAAGTCTGTCGAGACTTCGCGTCATGTCGGGCGTTCCCGATCCAGTTGATGTGTTTCAAGCATGCCGAACGCATGCCAGCAGGAAGGAGCTTTTCTGGCTGTGGCGTTGGTTTTATGCAGTCGTTGCTGGAAGACTTGCGCGAAAGGGAGTCGCAGGGTCATTTCTGTCTATAAGCGTAAACTGTAACACCAGGACACCCGGGCTTAATTGACTTTACCCTGAGGGATTTCAAACCCTTACCTCCCAGCTTCCAGGGGAAGGCCTTCATTGTGAGAGGTTATTTCCAGTCTACTACAGATACCTTGCCACATGGGAAAGAGGCCAAGGTTCGTTATCCAGAAGACATTTTAAAATGGATTCAGTGATGCAGGGAGCTTCATGTGGGCAGAATCCCTTTGACACCAGAAGCATTTTGACAGAGAGGGAGAAGAATCATCTCCCACAGCAATTTGCAGGATTCAGATGTTACAGTTTTCGCTTGAGTCATTAATTTCACTTCAGAAGTATGAATCTTGATGCTTTTGTCTAGTTGGAGGTTGATGTTGCCATAACCTACTATAAGAGTTAAAAATGAGAGCAGCAAGTGATAAGCAGTGCTGACAAGGCTGTCATCATTTGAAGCTGTAGAAATCAATATCTTACTGTGTGTTCAGGTCTGAAGATGAAAATTCTTACAATGAGTGGGGTTTAGTGCAATGGAAGAGGGATATGGCATTAATTAAAATGTATTATAAAACATACTTAAGATATTATGCAAGAATCAACCACAGAGACATTTGTGTGTGCCTTAAGATAAGGAAGTTCCATGCAAGAAGATCCCTTGTGTGTTTTGTATAAGGGCTTTTGATTACCTTTTTTTATTTCTTTTAAGTAACCTGTTTCAGAGCAAAAACATTATTCAGGGTCTTTGATCTTAAACAATCAAGAAGAAACCTCTGAAATAAAAGGGCTGTGTGGAGTAATGATGTTCACAGTCACCATCTGGAGTTCTAACATCCTATAAAACTGCTCATCTTCCTTTTGCAGGAGCTGTCTGAGCCGTGCATAGCTCTTTTTGAAAAGGTGGGTTTCCAAGGAAAGAAAATCGAATTCAGTACAGAAATCTTAAATCTCCAGTTCCTGGGATACAATCCTCGCATAGCTTCAGTTCAAGTCCTTGGTGGCATGTAAGTTTAAAATCACTTTTTGATTCTTTAGAATGATGTACTTATTCAACAGAAAAACTACAGATGTTAGAAACCAAGGAGTATAGAATTAGAATATCATAACGTGTGCAGTGCATTAATGGAGTTTCTTCTTACAGAACCTTTTCACACCCTGTTTCCACAACATGTTATCACTGAGTGGTGCCCTGTGCTAGAAGTTGAAATGAATTTGAATAAAGCTCACAAGGAAACTGGTGTCTTCTCTCATGCCATATTATAAAAGCCAGCTTGCATAGCATCCTTTAAACCAACTTCTGTGCTCTTGGTTTAGGTCTCAATCATAAAAAAAATCATTCAGTTTGTGATCTGTGTCGTGTCATAAGTTCAAAATGTTTTAGTAAGTCTTCACATTCATCCTTTTACCTAGATGTTATGGACACAGTGGTACAATCAGATCATGATCTGGCCCCTTTTGGCATTAGTAACAATCCCTTTTACTTCAGGAATTGGGTCAGACTCTTGGTTGTAAATCTAGCATTTAAATTTTTTTAGCTATTTTTAAGCAATTGTGTTCTCTAAATTTACCTTTGAAGATCGTGTAAAAAAAACAGTCTGTGATGACGTTTAAAAACTGTCTGGAAGCATTTTGAAAACTTCTGTGCTATCTTCTTCCAGTATTCTAGCAGATCTGTTAAATTTCTCTTTTTGTGTTTTTCCTGTTGTTAATCTCTACCTCCAAGATACTTGCCTCAAGTATATGTTCAGGTTTTTTCTAATGTGAAGAATGTGACATTTTTTAACGATAGACTCATGTTACTGTTGCTTTGCATTTAAATGTGTTCTTTTGAAGAGGTAAATTTCCAAGGTGTGTGCTAGAGAGATGCTGTTGGATAGCTTAAGACTGCCCTCAAGTGGATAGCTAGTACCAGATCTGTAGAGCAAACCATTTTCCCAATCTGGATAAGCTGGTCAGAGGGTTTCCTTAGCACACTGAACTGAAGTTTGAAACATAAAGGTCATAAGAAAAGGTACATGCTCTGTATTCTAAAGTCTTCTGAGATTTCAGTATCTTTTCACCGTAACCACAATATAGTTGATTCTCACTTTCCATAATGTGAAATAACATGAAGTCAAACATCAAGTTACTTCTTTGCCAAGAACATGGTTGCCACGATTCCAGGTAATGGAGTCATGAATTGTGCATGTTTCCTGTCCAATGAATATATATGTTTCTTCTGGTTAGAGTTTGATATGAAAATTCTGATTTCATTATAGCAGTGTCAGCTGCTGAAATGTGTCAAAATACACATTTCAGAGTGTCCTTGCCCCTACTGCCTCCCTTATTGAAGGGGTTTTCATCTTCTCTTCCTTTGCTAAGAGACACCTGTTTATAATTCTCTTAATTTCATACCTGGGGATAGATGTGTATTAGGCTGTGAAAAAGCACCAAAATTAAGGTGTGTGTGCTTCTTCTGGATATAGATGTCTACTGACAAATCAGTCAGAGGAAAGGAGGTAACAGGAAAATGTGTTTATTGAGTGTTCGTGTACTCAAAAACCTATGGCTATTGGACAGTCCCAGCAAATCAGTGTGAGAAAACTCAACAAATTGCACTGTATTGCAGCCTTTTTTGAAGTCTAGTTGTAATTCACTGCCTGTGCCAATAGTAGAGAAGCAGAAGTCAGGTTCTGACAGGTTGCTCTCAATGTGATTGTAAGCATGGTTGGATGTGTGCTAGGGAATGCTGAACAAAATTTTTCTATACACTTTCTCTCTCTCCGCCCCCTCCCCCCCTCCCCCCCCTTTACCCCTTCAGGTATTTGGAAAGAAGAAAGGTGTTCTGAAATAAAACCTTTATCAAAATACCCTAGAGTACTTCATCCTGTTGCTGTTGCAGTATTTGCTTGTTGCAATCTGCATCCTTAGTCGTTCTTTCCCATGTGGGTGAGGCCTGTCCAAATTAAGATACACAGAACTACTGGTCTGCTCATGTAGCAATCTAGCATACACAGCATATGTAGCATATACATATATGCTTGTTGAGGAGTCACAGTACCTGCTGAAAGCAGATGATATTTAAAAGTTGGGTTCTACCTTTAAGGCAAGAAAATGCTTTGTTTCGCTCAGCTTGTAATTTTTAAATAACAGGACTTTAAAATGTGAACTCCAGTATAGTCATCTTAATGTGGTTCACCTAAATCAGGACATGATTTTATTATTTTTGAAGACCTGTTAAAAAGGAGGTCATTGGCTTTCCAAAGCTAAACACTACTACTTTGTGGGACAGATTTCTATTAAATCCATTTATTGATTCCAAAGCAGGATTTGGCAGTAAAAGCATTCTGTCTTTTTTTTTTTTTTTGTCTTTTTCTTTTTCCTCACAGATGGATAATTTATGAGCATAGTAATTACAGGGGGCGTCAGATGTTGTTATCACCAGATGAAATTCCAGATTGGTATAAAGTGAGTGGCTATTGTCAGATAGGTTCTCTGAGACCTTTACTGCAGGTGAGTAGGCTCTGACATGAGATTGTCAAGTACTAATTTATATTTTGTAATGGGGCTGGGGGGATATTATACAGTTGAAAGCAATGTTACAGTCTTGATGCATGTCACAAGCTTCAGCAATGGCAATTGTGTAAAGAAATCGCTCTACAGTTTTGTTTGTAATAAAAGCTATTTGATTATGCTACGTGGCTTTGCAATTCCACTGCTTAAACTTGTTCATTAAGCATACTTTAAACCAAAATATAGAAGACAGCATATAAGGATTGGCTAAATTATTTTAAGAAATAATGGCTATAACTACTATATAAAAATTATTTTAAGTTGTTTTATAATTTAGCGCCCAAACTGGTCACTGGCGTACTGTCTGTACTATCTGCATTATTTTTGGAACAACAAGAAAATTGGTCAACAAAATTGGATACTTCAATTAGTAGTGATTTTGTGTTGATTTAGGGGGGAAGGTCCTTCCCTGCTTATTACTTGGCAGAATAATTTGCAAATCTAATGCAAAACTTACTCTTGTAGTGTCCTTTTCATTTTGTTCTCTAAATAAGGACCATGTGATTTGGTCCAGTGCTGCAGCAGACCTGTGAGCTTTAATATTTGAGGTTCTTGCTGAGCCATATGTTATTGAGGAAACAACTTTTTCCCATTCACAGATTACTTGTACCTCTAACCAAATGCATTTGCTTGCTGTCATAGCATTCTCTTTGTATAGCCTTAAGCAGAGTTAGAAATAATGCATTTTGACTGCCCTGGCTGAGAGCTTGTCTGAACAGAAATGTTAATGTGTAACAAGCTGCAGCGTGAATATGCAGTGTAATACTTGCTGCCAGTGAAATAAGCAGCACTGCACAAGGGCACCCTTAATGAAAGCTAAGAGCATCTGTACAAGAAGCTAGCAGAGAGAAGTTAGTGCTGCTCTGAATTAAAAATTCTTAGCTTTCCACTGTGTGCTGATCTCGGTGCATAGGAAAGCCTAAAACTCTCCATGCAGAATGGCGAGTTCTCAAAGCTAGGCTTGTCTTAGACATTTATGGACTTTGGAATTAAATTCTAAAATAGAACAGTTAAGCTTTCTGAAAGAAAGAGGGAGGCACGGGGTTCAGCACTAAACAGTAACTGCTCCGAAGTTAACCAGAGCAGGATGTGTTCTGCACTGAGACTGTGGTTAAATAGTTCTGTTGTTTTCTGCAGAAACGTGTGTACTTCAGGCTTCGGAACAAGGAAACAGGAAAATTCATGTCAGCTGATGGAAACTTAGACAATCTGAACCTTCTCAGAATACAGGTTGCAGAAGATACAGACTCAGATGATCAAATCTGGGTTTATCAGGATGGATTCATAAGGTGCCGGGTGAGGTTCAAGTTCAGCATGAATTTTCTCTTTTCCGCTCCAATAGTAGGGCTTTCTGAATTCAGTTCCTACTGTATCATCATAATTTATTTTATAGGCTTATTCCGTTTCAGCTGTAATACAATCTTTTTGTAGGGGTTTGGTGGTGTTTTTTTTTTTTTTTATTGAACTCTGGCATTTTCAGGTGATACAAATTAGTTGCATGATACCTTTTTTGATGTAATTGAAATTTTGAGAGATTTTAGTTATGGTTTACTTTTCCCCTAAAGAATAGTAGCCTCATAAGTACAATCAACACCAGAATATCATTGTCTTGGTCTTCATGAGCTCCTTCCACTTTCATGCCCTCCTTCTCCACAGTGAAAATACTACAAAAATATCAAAGCAGGGGAGACCTTTTGAAATGCAGACCCTTCCTGGTAATATTTTGAACTATGCATACCTTGTGGTAGGTCAATTAGTGTAATGTAGGTTATATCCTCTTCTGCATTCGGGCAAGCTTAAAGATAAAATCCTACTCTCTTGTTTTTTGGGGTTTTTGGTTGGTTTGTTTTTTTCTGGTTATCCCTGTATTTGTCGAATTCATCCCTCTTCCATTCCTCTGTACAAGTTTCCCAATGAAGTCCTACTTTTCTCACAGTCCATAAAACTAATGATGTGTGAATTGTCATTGAGGTGAGCAGAGGTATGCGCAGTTCATAATGTTTAAGCCTGAACAGTCTTAGGTAGGGATGCTGGCCAAAGAAAATAAAGTTACTTCAATACTGCTAAACAGTTTGACTGCAAAGAATCATGTGAACTTTTTCTATAGGATTGTATAACTTCAAAGGAGCCATTTTATAACTATGTCATCTATGCTGGAGGGAAGAATCTTACTGTTAATAAGCTAAGGCATTGTTTGGACATGTTTACAGGACACATGCAGTAGTAAAAGGGATTTATGTAGACAGCAAAATGATGCAAAGTAAGCTAAAAGTTTTAATATTGCATACAAAAGACTTCTCTCTTGACAGTGCCTCTCAAACATTTCACTGAAGTATTCATATCGAGACAGTGTGGTATTATATGGCTTTGCATAAACGCCCTTGGTTTTTGTCCCTGTCTCTAGCTCATAAAGCAGTTTTTCTGTGCACAGAAAATACACCGCTGGTGCTGTATAGCAATCAGGTAGCTTAGTGGGGAGTGCAGGCTGGCAACATTGATCTTAAATGACTGAACTCTTACAGAGCTCTGCCATCTTTCTGTTGAATGGCAGTAAATATATGTTGCACAAAAAATTGTTTTTCACCACATTTTAAAAAGAAAATTAAGCTCGTGGGTGGGTAGGTGCGTGCACGTAGGCAGACACGGTCATTGGAAGAACTTGCACCTTTCTTCTTGTAAGCTTAGGTCATCTCACTGACTGAGTCACGGTACTTTGAGGTATGCCTGAGGTTTTCAAGGAAAGGCTGTTTTAGGCAGGTGGGATAACCAGTAAGCAGGATATGAAAGTCACTCTGCTCATTTTGTCAGAAACGGGTATGAATAGCAGATATGAATTCAGGTCTCCTCACTCTTCATGAGTTTGTTAGAGATGGGTGAAGTAGTGGCCCAGTGGACCTAATGTGCAAGCTTTGAGTCCTCCAAGTCCTACTAGAGAAAATTTTTAGACACAGATGAGAATTTCAGAACTGCAGAACTAAGTCAACTTACTTCAAATCTAGGTTATGACAGTAAGAAGTACTACTTTTTCAAAATTGTGTATTTAATAATTTAGGGCTATATCGACAATGGCAGATGGGTGTTTGTTTAATCTAGCACTGAAGTCCATTCAGAAGTTACTGAAGATGGCTTACGGTGATCTATTGAAAATCACTGTTCACACAGAATAATTAACTGCAATGGACTACTAATACAGCCTTAATATTCTTTTCAAGTAAGCTTGATTTTTGCCAGTTCTTTTTTTAACCATAAAGACATAACCATAAAGAGTTTTGAAATCAAGTAATACAAATGACTAAGAAAAGAGTATAGAACAAGGAACAAAATATTATTGTGATACACTGTGAAATTCATACTCGATACTGTGCAGTTACGTCCTTTATCTCAAAAGGTTATTGTAGAACTAGAAACGATTAAAGGACAAAAAAAGGATGCGCAGAGGAGATGGAGGGCTTCTATGCCCTCTATGAAGAGATGAACTAGCTAGGACTTCTTAGCCTGCAAAGGGGACAGTTTGAGGGATGATATGATTGAAGTCTCTGCAAACATAGCGTGGACAAGACATCCCTTAAAATAAGGGAGGGGAAGGGGGGTGAGGAGAGCATCAAATAAAACTAGTAGTTGCCTATCAATTTTTTTTTTTTTTTTTTTTTTTTTTTTAAGATTTGGAACTGTTTGCTGCAGAAGGGTTATGATACTGAAGGGTGTTCATGTAAAAGGGTTACATTGATCTCAGTGGGTAGTGACTAACAAATTCACATATGGGTCAGAAACTGTCTGAGGATTAAAGGCACCAGCTCCGCATGGAAAAGTCTCTGGGCTGGAAATTGCTGTAGACTGGGAGAGATTACCAGGAACATACTGCATACAAGAGCAGAGTGAATGTAATCTTCCGTGGCATCTGTTATTGGCCACTGCTAGAGGCAGGGGCTAATTGTACCTTTTGATCTGATACAGCATGGTTATTTTAATGTCCTTATGTAGTGGAAAGTGTCAGCAGAAACAGGAACAAAAGAAAAATAAGTAGCCTTGAGTTTGGGGCAAAAATACATTCCTTTAGGGAAAGTAGTTCCTAGATTCTGTTCTCACCTGCTGACATCTCTCCTATCTGATTAAAAAACAGTGGATACTAGAAGTAAGGCCATTTTGATTAATTGCTGTTGCCTTTCTGGTGATACAGATGGCAGAGGATTGCTGCTTGACAATTGTTGGAAATCTTATAACTCCTGGCTCTAAACTTGGTCTGTCATTTGAGCGGAATGAAGACAAACAATATTGGCATATTAGTCCTGATGGCAGGATTTATAGCAAGATGAAACCCAAGCTGGTTTTAGATATCAAAGGTAAGCAAATGTGTTATCTCATTATATTGTGTCTTAATTACATGGTATTTACAGTGGGATAGGCACTAAACGTGCCTATAAATTAAGGATGGTGTTATAGTTACTTTAATCTAGAATCAAAAAAGACCCGATGAGCTAGTCTGACCTCCTGAATTATACAGGCCCTAGGACTTCATTTCATTTTTCCTACATAGAGTTTAGTAACTCACAGTACTGGCTTATCTTGTATTCCCAGTGTCCACTCACTGTAGATATCCTTAGCTAATTTTACGTGGCACTGGGTGTTGTGAATATAACTATTTAAAATGCTGAAGCAAGAAAACCCTAGCTTCTCATTAACTTTAATTTGTAAAGACCAAATTTTCTTATATAGTAGTTGTAGATGCAATAGCCAAAGGATATTAGGAAAGCAAAGGCAGGCTTGTACACTGATGTGATTAGATGCAAAAAGTTTTTTCATTTGTTTATTAATGGCTATACCTTTATTGCAAACATGAGATTCTGCCATAGCAGCCTCAGGTCTGCGTGCACTTGATGCATGTTTTACAGTCGCTTTTGTCACAGCAATTTGATTCATGTAGATACTGTTTCGGAACTTTGCTTTCATAGTTTCATAGAAGGTCTGAGAAAGCAACAAATAGAATGATTAGCAGAATTAGCATAATGAGATGTTCTTGCATAACTCTGCATTTTTGGGTGGGGGGAGTAATCATCTTCTATAGCTGTTAATTTTTTTAGCTGTTTTAAAATTAATTTTTCATTGATGCTGTGACATTAATTACAGCAATTACAAAAAAAGAAAAATACCAGAGTCAACAGTCAGTAGTTCAGAACTAAAAAGGACACGACTATCAGAACTGTAAGAAAAGGGTTATCTAATGTCTGACCGTAATACAACACTGGCACAAATAGTCACAAGTTCTCTTTACTGCCATAAAAAGCTAGTGATGATTAATTAGAAACTTATCAAAAAGACTCCAGCTCAAGGGAGAGACTTTAGTCACAATAACTCTGCATACCTTTTTCTAAAGTCGGTTCCGAGTTGCAACAAACGAGCAGAAATACTATTACACTGCCTTGTCTTCAGTTAATCATGTTAAAAGCAATTCTGTATTCTGCATTTATAATTGAAGAACTTCACAATGGATAGGTCTGGTGATGAAAGTATAGATGCACTCTTAGTTTAAAAAAAAGTAAATCTGTATGGTAAATACGAAAGAGTAGGTACATTTAGCTTTTATTTGAGAAAGCCTATAGGAACATTACCTGTTTCTGCCAATTCTGCTGATCAATTCTTGACTACAAATTGAGCATTACTGAATTCTTCAGGAAATGAATGCAGTTGTTCAGCTGTGCAGTTACCAATGCCACCTTGTGGATATACTGGCATAGCACAAAGCTTTGTCCAGAGCACCGCTCTATCAAAGTAAATAGTCTCTTGTCCCACTGAAAAATATCCCATCTTTTCCCATTATAACATGTTTACATTCCATCAGACACCGCTTACAAAATATTTTTTGCACTCACAGTGATAACTGAGCTATGTAGCTAATGTTGTTTTTTGTAGCTGCTGGTAAGGGGTTTTTTTTCTTGTGGGAGTATTTGGTCTGGTATTCCCTTCTTTTTTTCCCCCCTTTCTGAAGAACTTTGCAAGTATTTCTGCTGTGTATCTCTACTGCTTTTTAGTGGTGATGGCAAGGAGGGAAATCACATTGGTGTTAACCTTCTCAGAGACCTTTCTGATTTGGGACAGTGGCACCAGAAAGCCTCCCGCAAATTCCTGAAGCAGAGAACAGCTAAGGTGCTTGAGATGGCATTTCCTTAATACAAAAGAGCTGCTTTTAAATGTGCCTGCCCATGCAGGACTCCAGGTGCCTGGCATATTTGAGATCTGCTAGAATCTGTATTTGTTATACTCATCATCGTCTTTCAGCTGCCAGGCTTGTCTTTTCTCATGGGGGGATGGTGAGGTTGTAGGGGTGCAGAATGAAAGATGGTGTCCGTAGAAGTGTCCTGGTGCTCTGTATAAATGGTTGGCTCAAATGGCTGCCTCCAGTGGGAATACTACCTGCTATTGCAGGTGTGTTGTACTACGTGAGATGCACGTGTCCTACACTTCCGCAGTATGTACTAGATCTGGGAAAAAAATGTCAGTTCTGACTTTCACCTCTAGTCGAATGTTTCTTCGCTTCTGAGTTTCTTAAGTCAGAATACTAATGGTGCTCTTCTATGGGAACATGTTTGGCATTGCATCACGTGAGTAAATTAAGCCCCTCTAAGAGAGGGTTATATTTTGCATTCAGGTATGGGTGATATTCTGTGTATGGCGACTCCTGATGCAGCTGGTCAAAATCCAGGATTATAATGGTGAAGAGAAATGAGTACCAGACATTGTCCCTGGTGTGATCATGCTCATTGTCTGTTAGCAGCAGGACTTATTTCATCATGGTAAACATCATCTTTAGAGCAAAGTGACAACTGACAACTGTTGAGGGGAAACTGAACAGCCAAGTTTGACTTTGGGGAAGTGACAGTCTTAAAGGAGCTATACCTGACTGTATTGCAGTGTTTCCTTCGTTTCCCATCCAGGCTGAAAAAGCCAAGGTACTGAATTACTGAAGGGGTGGAGAGGAGCAGGCAAGCCCCCTTGTTTCAAAATTAATTCCAAAAGCAGGCAGTGATGAAAATGAGAGTCTTTTCAGTGTCTTGGGGAGAAGAGAAACTGTCTACACCAGCACTTATTAGAGTTGCCCTGAAACCTAGAGTACGTCTCTTATTTGAAAGATAATCTACACTATTTGAAATTTTTCTTTACAGGGGGCACACAATATGATCGTGACCATGTTGTCGTCAACACAGTCAATGAAGAAAAGTTAACGCAGTGTTGGGAACCACTAGTTGTATAAACCCAAACAAGCAAAGATGCCATTTGAATTAGACGCTATTCCAGATACTAGAATTGGCACTGCCATCTCTGAAGGATACAGGATCAACGAGAGTTTTGTCTTTTCTTCGCAATTTTAGAAAGAACAAGCAACAGAATTATTTCACCTTGCTAAGATGATTATCCCTATAAAAACTTGAGTATCTCTCAAACTTTTTTTTTTCAATCATCACAACTCAATGTGAGATAGAGAGTGGTAGTATGCCTCAGGCTAGAGTGGAAGAACTAAAGGTGGGAGAGACGCCATGGAGTTACAGTTGTGTCAGTGAGTAGTTAATCCAGAATAGTCAATAAGCGTAATTTTAAATTATTTTTAATTTTTTTTTTAACTGAGAGAAGGGCTAAAAACTAATTAAAGCTTATTTTATAAAGGACAGGAGTGCAGTGTGTATGTGGGTAGCAACTTGGACCTATGGGCTGTAGTATAGAGAAATATTCACTACTGGAAATTAATATATTTGTTTCACTGGAACAAACTTATGTTTACTGGAAGTTTAAAGACTGCTAGCACACAGCACGTCCAAAGAATTTTTAACATGTGGCTTCAAATATAGTTAGTATGCTAATATAGTAAGTCCTAAATTAAGAAAAAAATCTAGATTTTCTCATGTAGAGACAATGTAAATTAGTAGACGTTTGTTGGAAAAAGAGAGGGCTGGCAAAAGGATGCATTGGAATGTGAAGAACTTGCCCATTTTCTAGGCTGCCTAACTTTTTGAGTTACGGGTATTTTACTTCTTTGCCAAGTTAAATTTTTACCTTCTAAAACAGTTCCAGTAAGTATAGTATTCCTGAACTCCAAAATCATACAGAAAACAAGAATTTTTAGGGAAATTATCACTAAAGATGACTGCAACAGCACCAAAGCACTGTGGTTACTAAGTTTTTCAGCCACTGCTTGTTGGGCTTACCATGGAGAATGCCAGACTCCCAAGTATTTCTGGTGATGTTGGAGAGCAACGTCTGTGGTGGGCTGCTGGCTCCCAGTTGCTGCTGGGCAGAAGTGTCAGACTGCTCTAGTAAGGGGCATAGCCAAGCCTGGATATGAACCCAGTCACAAGGGCTGTGCCCATTCAAAGTAAGCGTTTCTGGTTTAGCAAAGAGCTTGTTCACAAGTAAGACATACTAATGACTGCAGGAAGTTCTTCTGTTGCCCTGCTTTTAACCTGGTTTTGTTAGTTTTCCTTAATAATGTTGGCAAAAAGGTAAAATACAAACAAAGTCTTGTACTGTGCTGCTGTGTTTTGTTCTGGCTTAGACCAGTGTTATTACAAGCTGCTCCTAGGAGCATCCAGGCCTTTGTCTTGCATAGTAAGTCTGTTTAAAATTAACATTTTCATTACTATTGTATTGCCTCAAAGGATACTGGCGCTTTTATTGTTACCACCCTAGAGGAAGTGCCTTACTAATTTTCCTCCTTTTGTACAGACGTACTGAAGTGTTGTTGCTCTGAAATGTGCTGCTTTTAGTTCTTCATAGAAAATGTGTTGTTATTGGTTCCAAACAGTGGTACTTTGTCATATTGATGTGCTCTTGCTATATATAATATAGCATTTTACAAATAAATTTAAGTTAGGTAACTTTTTATTGAAATTATTTTTAAAGGTAGAAAGCTGACATTTTACAGTTAGTTTTGCTTCTGTCTTGTGCCCTTCTCTGTCCATAATTCCTCTGCAACAGCGAACTAATGAGTGAATACGTGGTGTGGAATAGCTGCAGGCTCTGAGGAAGGATGCTTCTCCTATACAAGCACGTGTTCAGTGCATTTGTACATGGGGCCACAGTTCACATCGCTGCTGCTTCTGTCCCCTGGTGGAAGCACTGCATGACATGGTTTTTCCATCACCATAGCTGCACCACAGTAAATGTGCAGTTCTCAATTAAAAGGTTACCACTTCCTTCAATCTGCCTGCATAATTGCAGGGGAAGTCACTCCATAGCCTGTCTCTGGCAAAATGATAAGTTTAAAACCAGTCACATACCCCTCAAGCACTTGATCACCACCAGCAGTGGTAGGGGGCATGGAAGGAACAGGATCTCCCGATTACTGACAAAATCATGGCTAGCCTACCTGCATAAACACTGTAGTCAGCTGAATCTGTGCCAGGAGTTAGGCAATTAGAATAATTATCAGTTACAGATTGATTTTGTTCCATGCTTCTACTCCGATTAGTTATGCCATGAGAGATTTGCCATATCAAGATTAAAGTACCGGTCTTGAAACAGCAATGTGACCACTTAATACAGGAAAAGTTACAGGTTCTGAGAATGAACTAGATCGAGTAATAACATATATTAATAAAGGTGAACAGAACTAGGAAAGGCTAAGGAAAAAAGGACAGCACAAGTTTCATATGGACAATTGGATAAAAGTGTGCCTCACTATTTCAGGACTTAGCTAAAACATCTGGAAAATAAAAGCTCCAAGATCTACAAACTGAAAATGCTGCCGGCTGCTCCTCTTGTCCCAAGAGTGAGGTGTGTTCTGCAAAAGTCACAACTAAATTCTTAACATGGTTTTCATGTAGAAATACCTAACGGACATTAGTATTTCTTGTCTGCGTATTAACAGTTATTAAAAGGCAGAGTATGAAGGAATCAAAGAGGCTTTTCTAAAACAAGACTTTTTTTTTTTTAATTATGCATCCTGTATGAGCTTTTAAAGAAGAAACAGTTGCTACGTACCAATTCATGTTCAAGTGTAATTTACCAGTAAAGGACTGACTGGGGGCAGAATAATGATTAGAGATACTTTATTTTTTACTAATTACATCAATCACTGTTTTTCCACGTGCATGTCCTCCTTCCAATTTCAGAAAGGCCTTTGGAACTTCAGAAAAAGAGAAGACTTGATCAATAACTGGTTGAATCTACAGAATAAAGAAAAAGTGTCACTATATTAGGAAGAAAATAATGTATCACCTTCACACTTCAAAACTGTATGAAGAAAGGGGGGAGGTTTCTTTATAGTATTTAAGGCGGAAGTTGCCAAATGATGTAGTCACTCATTTTAACTTTTTTTCAGGAACCCCTCTGCATGCAGGAGGTGGCTTTGTGCTGCTCTTTGCCCAAGTTTTGAAACATCTCTAGTAGTACAATTTGGAGCCCTCACCTGGGACTCTTTAACAATGAAGTCACCATGCAAGGCTCTAACTTCTAAATCCATTTAAAAGCTGACGCTGTGATTCAACTTTTTGCTGTCCATAATGATACACTGAGGAAAAGGAAGAACATTTTTTCCTCGTATTTCTCTACTGGTTTTCTTGTTAAATCCAAGAATTTTCAAAAGGTCAGATGTTTTAAAGATACCTAGATCTAGTGCCTATCTGCATCAGTACATGGCTCAGTACCCTTAAAAGACTTGGCCATAAATGAAGTACAAAAAAGAGTCCACAAACATTTAGAATCATTTAGATACACTTGAAAATTCAGCCACTGTGTATTCCAATAGGCATACATTGTTAAGCCCAGCTTGCATCGACTGCTATTTTGGCACTAATTTTGTAGAGTAGCCTTCTGGATTCTTTTAGACTCATTTCTAATAATGAAGGTGAAACTACCCTATTCACTGTCCCCATTATTAACTAAGGAGCCCAAAAACCCTATGAGCATTTTCTTTAGACATCATAGCGTACCGACAGTGGCAGAAGAAATCCCAGCTGCTTCTGGAAAATACTTGTCACTGCTGGTGCAAGGGAAGAGACTTTTCTATCACAGAGTTCTGAGTCAGCCTTCCAAATGCCAAAATAAAATCTGTGTACAAAATTACCTCCCACACATCCTCCCAAAGATCCTGCCTACCCTGAGGTTGGTCTCTTACCTTGGATCCCCTAACACCAGCCCAATGCATGTTCTTGCATTGATGAACTGATCCTAATCCTCTTATCAGAGGAAAACATTAACAGTAGATGAATCTGCAGCTAGCTCTTGCAACAATGACGATTTGAAGTAACAAAGATCCAAACACCCTATTTACTGTGCTAGAAAAACATCCTTGTTACTTGTGTCAGTGAAAAAATATCTTCAGGCTTTTTCCTCACAGCTACTAGCATGCACACTATCTTGTTGAATACTCCAGAACTGCCTTCTCCTGGTAGGACATGCATCTCACTAAACAGAAAAGGACTACAACAGCAATAAGGAGATGAACAATTTGCTACCATCAGAACAGTGCCGTCTTTCAAAAGCCTTGCTTACTTTTACCAGAAGGCAACGGGTACGTATTCAGACATGCTGCTTAGAAGGTGAAGGCGCAGCACTGCCAAGGAAAGGTTTTCATATGCACACATTTTCCAAGCAGCAGCACTGAGCACCCAGCACCCTCCCCGACAGCACAACAAATGCAATCTGGTAGTTGTCTGTGCTCATGTAGGTCCTCTTCTCAACTCTCTTAATTTTCTCTTTATTCATACACAGTGCCTTACCTTGAAGTCCAGTCTTTGCACTAAAATGACTACTGGTTTTGCTTATACGATAACAGTAATCCGAGACATCAATAATCTATTACACTGCCGTATCTCCTAATTTTGTCACGAGATTTTCCTTTTTATTTTGTCAAGGCAAGCTTAGCAGTAGTGTGAAACTTTACATGGCAGAAAAGTAGGAAAGAGTAAAAAAAAAGAAAAAGAATTAGCAGCCAAATCACTATGAGAGCAACTGTGCAAATAAATATATTCGTTAAGTGCCTCAAACTTGCTATGCTGCAGGGTACAAGGCTGGGTAATTTCTTCCCCTTGTTCTGCCAGGACAATCTCTGTAAATAAACCTCTAGCAAAGTGAGTAGTAACACACAGCAGAAGAGCCAGAAAGATACTGTGTAAGACATTCTGCTGCTCAACTGGGGAAGAAATGTGGGGCATCAATGAACAAGACAAAATCATATTCGGTCAGCATCCAGCACAGAATGGAAATGTTGTCTTGGGCGTCAGCAAAGTCAGGGACATGGACCCAGGGCAGCAAAAC